GGGAAAGAGGGAAACAGAGAAATCACTCCCCAGGGGGTTGGCTACACTGCAATTCCTTCTCCTCCATCCTCCCCTCACGATTTTGGTACACGCACATGTGCCCAGCGTGTTTTTCAAGATGCTGGGTCCAGGACTTGAACCGCCATCAGCCATGTAGTAAAGAGTGCCTTAACCACCACGCCACGCTGGCCCTAGTTATTTGTCTTAATTCATGGTAGAGTTTGCTCATGTGTATGGGGGAGGGAGAGAGTGAGAGAAAGAGAGAGAGAGACAGATGAGCACCCTCTGCAGGTCTGGTCATGCCCTTCCCCCAGTCCTCCTGGCCATCAAATCTTGGACACTTGCGTGCGTGCCCAGCATGTTACGGGTTGACCAGACGGGGGATCTGAACTGTGCTGCCATGTGGGATCTGGTTTCTTTGAGTCTCACATTACTCCTGCTATAGAGTTGGCCTAGAGTTATATTTATTTTTAAACCTTTTTGTTGTTGTAATTTTCTTTTGTTTTTAGTTTGCTATAGGATATGTGGACTTGTCAGAGACAGAGAGAAACAGAGAGAGATAGCGAGAGACACAGAGAGGAAGCACTTCCCAGGAGGGATGGCCACACCACAATCCCTTCTCCATTCTCCTCTCAGGACTTTGGGCACTCACACACGTGACCAGCTACCAGGTCTGGGACTCGAACAGTGCCCTTGGCTATGTGGGACTCAGCAGCCTTAACCATCAGCCAGCCCAGCTTTTAAGCCACTTTGAAATAAACAGCTAAATCGAATCTGCCCCGATAATGAGATCACCTCAACCATTCCAGTACTGGGCAGGGCAGGAGTAGGTTAGTGGGGACCCACAGATAATGAAGGTTTATCCAGAGGATTTTAACACTAGGGCAAGTTCAGGAGCTTTGCCGCCTGAGCCCGTGTAATGTGCCTTTCCTCTGCTCTGGAACCTTCTGTTCACCGTCAGAGATACAGACCATGAGAGACAGCGAGAGGGGGTCTGAGGAGGAGATGCATAAAGAACCACCTGAGAAAGTCTTATCAATTCTTTTGGGGACTTTTTTTATAAAAAATGAAAAGAGGAGAGTCTTCTTTTACCATCTCTCTTTTCTCTGCTGAATAAAATACTTTTTTCTTCTTTTTTTAATATCTTTTTCTTTTTTTTTTTTAGAGAAGTTTTTACTATATGGCTCATGTGCTTGCTGGAGAGACAGAGAGACAGAAAGCGAGAAATCACCCCCCCAGGGGGGATGGTCACAGAATAACCTTTCTCCAGTCTCTGGGATTTGGGGCACACACACACACACACACACACACACACACACACACCGGGTGTGAGTTTTAGT